AAGCGTGTTTTCGGTCGTGTAACGGGTACTTCCTTTGAAGAATGTGTCCAGCACCAGAATCTGTGTCGGTTGGGACATGTGTTACGTATACCGAACCATTGTTTGCCGAAGAAATACTGTTTACGTGGCGTTCTTGTTGTCATTTTCTGTCCCGATTGCCTGAGTGAACGTCTGGTGACGTAGGTACCTCAGAATGATTGTGGCAAGCTAGCACTAAGTCCCTTCCCCGGGCACCTTTACTCTTTTCTTTACAATAGGGTCTTCAAATAAATCATGGTTGTACGGCAGTGAAGCACCGGTGTTGAACACTGATGTGATGATGATGATGATGACGACGACGATGATGATGATGATCCAAACAAAACAACGAGACAGCCATGTCTACATTGGAGACTCAAAATGGGAAAAGGTGTGCTGGGAAGCACTATGATGTGAGTTAAGCCGTGGCCCGAAATAATAGGCAGCCAAAACTGGTCCCGATTTCCGACTAATTCAATGAGGTGACACTGCCTGATTTCGAAAATTAGTCGATACTCCCGTGTGAAGAAAAGGCATGCGATCGATGTGAACGTGTGTTGGCACGTGTTATTATGAGGGACATGCTTTGGCTAGATTGTACGGAAATAACGTGGCTCGGAACATGCAGCGGCATGAGATCCGAGATACATGGTGATGTTTTACGATAAGGTGGGCCCATAAAAGCGCTTTCACAGCCTAATGTAAAACGTGGATCTTTTGTAAAACGGGTTGCTTTGAAGCGTCATACCACGTGCATTTAGTGAGTCTCTCAGTATTTTTGCTCTTTTTTTAATGAATCTTTCTGTCAAAGGTTTGATTACCGGAGATACTTGCCACAACGATCCTCCAGCTGTTCCTAAAAGTCCATATCTACTTTTGCGGACGACTTGTAATCCTGGTGTTTCAATGCGAGTGCCCGTCAAACGAATCTGGACGCTTCAAGGCAGTGGTCGTTGAAATGGCACCTTCCTCTGAATAAGGAAAAGTGTGTTCATGTGTAATATGGAGGAGACTCCTCGAAAGCCTCTGCCATGCATGTTGAGAAAAGACCAAAAGACATCACGAGGATAAATACCAAGAAATACTTGGGTACCTAGTTAAAAAATGTCCCACTTATTGCACCATGAGAAATCAGCCCAAAAGGCATTCGCCATTTTACGGATGATTTGACAAACCTTCTCCCGTATTACTCGCATGGACTTCCAACCACTATTTGTTGCCTACAACGGACG